CTTCTTATCTATCTAATAGGAGTCAAGCGGTAGAAATTAAAAGTCTAGATAGTAAATTTCACGTGGTTTCGAATAAATCACTTTATCGTATAAATGCATGCGGCGTGCCTCAAGGTAGCACACTTGGACCAGTATTATTTCTACTATATATCAATGACTTGCCTGCTGGGTTACAGCACAAATGCGTATTATTTGCAGATATATCTATAACGATACCATGTAAAAACAATATAGTAAATTACGAATCTGATATAAATAACACAATTGCATTAGTGGTTAATTGGCTCAACAGCAATATTTTGACACTCAACTTTAATAAAACGAATTTCATTCAGTTCGGAACTGTCAGACAATAAATTACAATTGAATATTAATTACAATGGACATATTCTACAAGAAGTACAACAAACATAATGTTTAGGTATAATTATTGGCGATAAGTTCGAGTGGAAACTTCATATTCAAACAGTACTGAATAATCTACATCGTTATGTTTTGAGAAGGTTGCGAGACACATCCTCTATGTCTACGACTCTAGAGGCCTTTCATGGCTACGTTGCATCCTTACTTCGATACGGACCTGTGATTTGGGGAAATTCAACAGAAGTAAGTAAATTATTTACAGCACAAAAAAATGCGTACGGGCAATGTGTGGTTTTCTTCTTCTTGAGGTGCCTCTTCAATCCTGAAGGTTGGCCGTTAGCTTCTTGTATTCGTCTCGGTTAGCAGCCAACCGGAACAGCTGTTCGACCGAGGTAATGCCGGTCCACTCCCGTGTGTGGTTTAGGACCCCGAAAATTTTGTAGACCGTTATTTAAGTATCTTAACACCTTACCGCTGCCTTGCAATTTGAGTAAGTGGCGAGAGCTACTTCTCTTCTTACTTCCAGTTTATAATAGCCTATCATGCCCAGTATAAAATAAAGTAGGATATAATAATGGATAATCTGGGTACACACCATACTGTTTTGAATATAGGAATCTAACAAACTTGTTCTGAATACGGTCTATCATTAATTTATATTTGGCTTCATGTGGCGACCAAATAACAGCGTTGCATTCGAGATGACTTTTTAGGGCCTCAAATAATGCTTTCAAAGCTGTTATATTCGTGAAGTTATTTGACAAACGTAACACCAATACCAGATTGCGGTAGGCTTTTTTACATACATCAATGTTAGGACTCCGAAAATTATTGTCGTTTGTGAAACTCACAGTCCTTAACCTTAAATACACGCTGCATCGGCGTTCTGTCTATGTAGTATTGGTAGTGACTTGGGCTGCGCGCACGGCTGAATGATAACACAGATAAATTATATATTTATTAAAATATAATTTATTTTCAAGACCCCACTCTACGATCCTATCAATGTCCTGCTGCAGTACGTCATGATCTGCCCTCTGAGTTATTTTTAGAATTAATTTCAAGTCATCAGCCAATAGTAACGGTGTAGCGTTGTTGACTACTTTCGGCAAGTCATTGATCATTAAAATGAAGAGAGGCCCTAAATTACTGCCTTAATTGACACCTGAAGTAGTAATGTAAAGCTGTCCGCCACAGTCAACGTACTGAAATCGATTTCGTAGGTAGCTGACGAAAAAGGACAGGGTGTGCGGTGTGCAACCTACACATGCCAATTCAGTTAGAAGGACATCATTATTTACTACCATCAAAAGCATTCCTATAGTCGAAGTTGTTGTTGACCTAACTACTTGTTGACTGCACTGTCGGTACTATGTGTGTCATGAGATCCAACAAGTTCCCCACTGTCCCACGCCCAGGACGGAAGACGTGTTGCGCGTCAGACAGCAGAGCGCTTATTTGTGGATACAGATGACTGTGAACTGTCTACTGAAAAGACTTCGGCTGGCGTGCACAAAATTGTTACGGGTCTATAATCACTAGTTGTTGAACCTCCACTACTAAGGTTGTAACCTTAGTGAGTTTCCAGCTATCAGGAAACTTTGCAGCCGTAATACAGACGTTGAACAAGTGTAGTAGCGGCCCTACTAAAATCGCACGACAGTCCCTAAGAATAAACGCGCCAGAGCGCACGCAACACGTCGGCGGGCCGCACGCACGCTAGGTGCGCCCAGGCCCGCGCCGCCGCGCTCAGAACAGGAGGTTCTGGGCTGTATATTTTAACTGCCTCCGTGGCCGAACGGTTACCATGCCGGACTGCCACGCAGAGGTCCCAGGTTCGATTCCCGGCCGGGAGAAATATTTGTATGGCCTACAATTATTTCTCTCGTGAGTTTGGGTGTAATTTGTGGTTGTCTATATGTGTGTCCATGGCACCCGCGACACAGGGTTTCCCTAGTGCGGGGCTATGTTGAGTGTGTGCGTTATTTATTTATTATTGTATATAGACTGGAAAACCCGAGCGAACTCATTGGCGCATTCGTATTCTGATAACCGCTATCGATACGAACAATCTGCTTTTTGAGCCTTTACGGCGCGTGAATCGCGCGTCGTAGGCGCGTATAAAATACGCCGTGTGCATGGGCTCTAATTTTCTTGTGTTCTTCGTTAGATGAACAACATGAAACGCAGACCTAAGGTTCTTTTTTATTAAACCTATGTGTTTTAAATGTGTCCTTCCTATTAATTATAGCTGTAATCATTATTAATACGAAGACCGACAAAAAGATGAAAAATTGCTTCGTTCCAACTGGTCCAGTGACTTGCCAAACCGGAGCTACGGGGTTACAGACCGACATGATAATGCGTGTACATCGTGTATATAACCAGAAATAGAGACGAAATAAGGGTTATATATTCCTGGTAATACATTAGCGATACAGCTCTTATAAATATCAACTCTCGCTTGCACTGAAATATAGACAGGCCAACGCCTGATCTGTGTGTACGTCTCCGTATATTCCAAAAAATATTCTGTATTTGTTGTAACAAAGATAATATCTCTATATCTCTAACAATGCCGTGCTGTTATAATAGGGGTTAAAGTATGAAATTGCCGATTTGTACTGAAAATCTAAATTGTTTATTTTTTAAATTTTTAACAAATTTATTTAATCAAAATAGTTGCCATTATTATCTATATATTGCTGCCATCTAATGGGAAGGTTATTAATGTCTTTGCGATAGAACTCCGACGATCTAGACTGCACAAATTGTGTGAAAGCATTTTGTACTGCCTCCTGGGAAGAAAACTTCTTGTC